TGGGGGAATGGGTGAAAAAGGTGAAGGGATTAAGAAGTACAAATTGGTTGCTAGACTGACAAACCTCAAAGGGAAGGGGGTTGGGGGGTGGGAAGAAATAAACCAAAGAATGTATATGCATAACCAGTGGACACAGACAACAGTGTGGGATTGGGGAGGAGGGGTTCAGTGAGGGGAAAATGAGGAACATCTGTTAACACATCAACATTAAAAATAAAATATATATTATATATATGTTGTGTTCAGCAACCTGACAGTTACTGCTTGTTCTGATCATTTATCTGTAGATTCTTTTGGATTTTCTATGTGTACAATTGTCTTGTGCAAAGAATAGTTTTATCTTTTCCTTTCTAATTCTTACACCTTTTATTTCTTTTTCTTGAATTACTGTATTGGCTAATATCTCCAGTGAAATGCTAATAGAAATGGTGATGACAGGCATTCTTGTCTTGTTCCCAGTTTGCCATTTCACTCTCAAATATGATACATATATTCTTTTTTTCCCCCTACTATTTAGCAGATTATGGAGTTTCTTTTTTATAAGGTTTTGTTTTTCTTTTCTCTTTGAAATCATATATTGATGTTGAATTCGGTCCAATACTTTTCCTGCATCTATTGAGATGATATGTTTTTCCTTTCTTTTTTCCTCCCTTGTTGTTAATCTGAATTACTTTGAATTTTGAATATTAAACTACCTTCCTGTTCCTGATATAAACCACATTGGTGGAGATATATTATCCTTTTTATATATTGGTGAATCAGTTTGCAGATTTTTTTTTTTATCCTCACCTGAGGACATTTTTGCATTTATCTTCAGACAGAACAGGAGGGAGAGAGGGAGGAAGAGAGAGAGAGAAGCATCGACATGAGAGAGACACATCGACTGGTTGCCACCCACATAAACCCAACCGGGGCTGGGGACAAATTGCAACTGAGGTATATGCCTTTAGCGGGAACCAAACCTGGGCCTCTCTGGTCCGCAAGCTGATGCTCTTAACAGCTGAGCCAAACCGGCCAGGGCAGTTTGCTGATATTGTGGTAGGATTTTTGCATGTATATTTGTGAGTGAGATAGGCCTGAAAATTTCCTTTCTTTGAATATCTTTGTTAAGTTTTGGTGTCAAGGTTGTTGATCTCATACAGTGAGTTGAGGAATATACCCTATTTTTGTATTTTTTGGAAAACTTTGTGGAAGATTATAGTTTATGTGTTTCATAAAATATGCTAATAAAGCCATCTGTGCTTGGAATTGTAGGAAGGTGTTAAATTACATATTTAATTTCTATAATTGTTATAGGACTATTCAGCCATTTCAGTTCTGTGAGTTTGATAAGATACATTTTAAAGGAATTTTTCCATTTCATCCACATTTGCAAATTTATTGGCAAAAAGTTATTTTCATATCCTTTTATGAACTTTTATTTATTTTTTATTTTTTTAATCCTCACATCGAGTGTTTGCCACCCGTACAACGCAACCTGGGCTGGGGACAAACTGCAACCGAGGTACATGCCCTTAGCAGGAACCAAACCCCGGTCTCTCTGGACCACATGTCGGTGCTTCAACCTCGAGCCAAACCAGCCAGGGCCAGTCTTTATCTTTTAGTTGGGATAGTTAGTTAATTACATTCAGTATAATTACAGATTATTGGGTTTCAAATTTATTGTCTCAGAGGTTGTCAACCTTTTTTTGTAAAGGTCCAGAAAGCAAATATTTTAGGTTTTGTGTGCCATTCAATCTCTGTTGCAGCTATTCAGTTCTACTGTTTTAGTACATAAGCAGCACCCATAGTCAACACACAAACAAATGAACACGACTGTGTTTTAATAAAATTTTATTTACGAAAACAGGCAATGGGTCAGATTTGGCTAATGGTGCTGTGGTTTGCCAACCCCTGTACTATTTTTAGTATTTGTTTTCTATTTATCCAACTTGTTTTATATTTTTTCCTACTCTTTCTTGCCTTTTGGCCTATTTTTTTTTTAAATGTGGTTTCCTCTATTAGCTTAGAAGTAATACCCTTCTCTACTGTTCTCTCACTGGTTATCCTAGAGATTATAACATACTTCCTTGACCTATTAATAATAGGTACTTTTACCGTCTTCCTGAAAATGCAGGAAGCGTGTAACACTGTCACCTCCTAACATATGCCTTACATGCCATTTGTATGTATGTGTGTAACTTTTTAGTATAATTAAAATTTTTTTATTAAAAAAAATTTTTTTTCTTTATTGATTTTAGAGAGGAAGTGAGAGGGAGAGAGAGATAGAAACACTGATGAGAGAGAACATTGATTGGCCGCTTCCTTCATGCCCCCCACTGGGGATCAGGCCCACAACCTGGGCATGTGTCCTGACTGGGAATTGAACTGGTGGCCTCTTGGTGCATGGGTCGATGCTCAGCCACTGAGCCACACCAACTGAACAAAAAGTTTTTCATTTTTAAGAAACGTTTTATTGTGGAAATACATACTTATATGCATGCCATTTTTGTTCTGTATTTCTTTACTTTTTTATAATGGCAAATTTCAAATTTAGTCAAATAGAGAAAATATTATAAACCATTGAATAAGAAACTATAGTTTCAACAATTATTACTGTTTTACCAGCCTTGTTTAAAGCAATTCTCTGGCATCAAATTTTTCCATTTATAAATACTTATGTATGTATCTCTTAACAGCTTAAAGACTTAAAGAATAATAATACTCATCTAACAAAATGAATGATTTAAAAATACATTTTAATATCTAATTCAGCTGATTTGTTTTCAGGTTATATATTTTATTTTTCTCTATTATTTGTATTTTTGTATGGCCATTATTTAGATAGAGTGGGAGGGAGGGTGGGAGAGACAGAGGGAAGGGGGTGGGGGGGGAGAAAGAGAGAGAGAGAAAAGGTAAGAAACATTGATGTGAGAGAGACACATCAATTGCTTGCCTCCTGCACATGCCCCAACAGAGACAGGGATGGAACCTGCAACCCAGGTATGTGTTCTTAACTGAGAATTAAGCCTACCACCTTTCAGTGCACAGATGGATGCTCTAACCATTTATTCACATGGGCCAGGGCTCCCTACCTGATCTTTAACTTTTGTTTTTGTTGAAGAAACCAGATAATTTTTCTATAGAGGGTCCCACATCCTGGAATATGCCAATTGTATATTTATACTTTAATTCAACATTTTCCTTTACCCCTATATTTCTCACAAAAATGGTCATTTAAATCTATCTAGCAGCTTGATCAATTCAATTATATATATATATATATACATATATACATATATACACATATATCTATATATACACACACATATTTTTATTGATATTAGAGAGAGAGAGAAAGGGAGGAAGGGAGAGGGAGAGAGAGAGAGAAACATCAATGAGAGAGTACATCAGTTGGCCACCTCCTGCACGCCCCCAACTGAGGACTTGGCCCATAACCTGGGCATGTGCCCTGACCAGGAATTGAACCAGTGAACTCTTGGTGCATGGGTCAGTGCTCAACCACTGAACCACACCAGCCGGGCCAGTTTTATATTTTGACAGGAATACTTAATAGGTGGTGTGTTGTATACTTCCATAGGTGGCGTATAATACCTAGTTGTATCTGTTTTGTGATAATAGCCACTGATGATCATCACCTAAATCCATTATTTCATGGGGGTTTCATTTAGATTTTTCCTGGGTATAGAATTCTAACTGGTAGATTTAAAAACACAAATGATTTTTTTTTTTTAAATGTGTCTTTACTGATTTTTTTTTTTTAAAGAGGAAGGGAAAGAGAGATAGAAACATCATTTGAGACAACAACATCTTATCAGCTGCCTCTTGCATGCCCCCTACTGGGGATCAAGCTTGCAACCTGGGCATGTGCTCTGACTGGAGATTGAACCGTGACTGCTCAGTCCATGGGACTGATGCTCAATCCACTGGGCCACACCAGTGGTACAACAAATAATTTTTTAAAAATTTATTTATTTTTAAATATGTTTTGATTTTAGAGAGAGAGAAGAAGGAAGAGGGAGAGAGAGAAACATCAATGATTGAGAAACATCAACATAGATCAGCTGCCTCCTACACACCCCTTACTGGGGATTGAGCCCGCAACCCTGCCATATGCCCTGACTGGGAATCCAACTGGCGATGTCCTGGTGCACAGGTTGATGTTCAACCACTGAGCCACACTGGCTGTGCACTTAGGTTTACCACAAAATTGAGAGAGGAAGATACAGAGATTTCCCACAGTATCCCTGCTTCCACGTATGCATTGCCTCCTCCATTATCAATAGCATACACCAGAATGGTACTTTTTTTTTTTAAAACCAAGGACTAACTTACATTGACAGACACATCATAATTACTAAAAGACCATAGTTTACCCTGGGGTTCACTCTTAGTATTGTACATTCTATGGGTTGGACAAATGTAATGAGATGTATCCATCATTATGATGTCATGCAGAGTATTTTCACTGTCCTAGAATCCTCTGTGCTCTATTTTAATGTCTTTATAGTTTTATCTTTCCCAGAATGTCATATAGTTAAATTATGCAATATGTAATAGCCTTCTCAGATTGGCTTCTTTCACTTAGTAATATGTAAGTTCCTTTATATCTTTTCATGGCCTCATAGCTCATTTCTTCTTAGTGTTGAATAATACTCTATTGTCTGGATTTACCTCAATTTATTTATTCATTGACCTAGTGAAGGACATCTTGGTTGCTTTCAAGTTTTGACATTTATGGATATAGCTGCTTTAAACATCCATGTGTAGGTTTTTGTATGACATAAGTTTTTAGCCCCTTTGAGTAGATACCAAGGAACACAATTGCTGGATTATAGGGTAAATGTATATTTAGCATTGTAAGAAAATGCCAAACTGTCTTCCAAAGTGGCTGTATTATTTTGAATGCCCACCAGCAGTGGATGAGAGTTCATTTTGTTCCGCATCCCTGCCAGTGTTTGGTGGTGTCAGGATTCCAGACCTCAGCCATTTTATTTTTTACTTGGTGTTCCATTCCCAGAAGTACTGCAATACTGGGTTGATGGGCACAGTGGAGGGAGCAAGCTTCTATCCATCTCCCTGCTCCATTAAATGTAAAAATACATTTAATATAATGTCTCCAGACAGAGGCGTATCAGACATTAAACTGATGAGAATAGATACTAGATCTTAGCCAAAAGGCTGAGAAACAATACACTTTGGCCATTTTAATAGGTGTGTAGTGGTACCTTACTGTTTTAATTTGCATTATCCTCGTGACATATGATGTGGAATATCTTTTCATATGCTTATTTGCCATCTGTATATCTCTTTGGGAGAGGTGTCTGTTAAGGTCTTTGGCCCATTTTTAAAATTAGGCTTTTTTTTTTTATTGTTGAGTTTTAAGAGTTCTTTATGTATCTGGGATAACAGTTCTTTTTCAGGTATGTCTTTTGCAAATCGTTTCTCCCAGTCTGTGATTTGTCTTCTCATTTTTTTGCCATTATCTTTCACAGAATAGAAATTTACATTTTAATTCTAGCTTAAAAATGATTTCTTTCACAGATTGTGTCTTTGGTGTTGTATCTAAAAGGACATCACCATACCCAAGGTCACATAGGTTTTCTCCTGTGTCATCCTCTAAGAGTTTTATAGTTTTGTGATTTGCTTTTTTTGTCTTTGATATTCAGCAGTTTTACTATGGTGTGACTAGGTGTAGATATCTTTTTATTTATCTTCTCAAGGTTTGTTGGGCTACTTGGATCTGTGGTTTGATATCTTGTCAATTTTGGAAAATACTTCATTTTTATCTCCATAGACATTTCTTCTGACACATTCTTTCTCTTTTTACACACGTTAGATTTTTTTGCTTTGTCCTTTATTTCTCTTCACTGTTTTACATTAGTCTCTTTGAACTTTATTCCAGGATATTATTCTCACCTCTCTTCTAGTTTACTAATTCTCACTACAGTGTTTTGAATCTGCTATTAAGCCTCATCCATTAACATATTAACCCTTGTATTTTTCAAAGACAGAATTTGTATTTTTATTCAAATTTGCTGTGTTTTCCTCCACTTTTAAAAAATGACTTTTAGTTTTCTATGGAAATTCTTGATTTAATCTATCTCTTTGAACATAATACATAAACTCATAAGCTCTAAATTTTATAATCTCAGCTTCTGGAACATTGCTGATTTGTTCCTGTTGGTTTTTTGTTCATTCATCATGTCTTGTCTCTTTATGTGCCTGGTGGTTTTATGAGTGTGTTTAAGGCATCCATATAGGATCCATATCAAGATTTGAAAAGATATGGGTTGCAGCCCCTTTGAGGGTTTGTCTATTTATGGTTCATCCTTATTCTTGGAGTCTCAACTTAAAGGGTATGGGGTTTCCCATGCTTTCACCTCTGGCAGGTCTCAATCTATAGTTTTGTCTCCCTTGCTCTGTGAGACTATGAAAAGCTCTGCTCCACTTCTCAGTCTTAGATGTCTCTTCTAGATGTCCCTAAGGGAAAAACTGCCCTACATATCTGATTCATTTCTCTGGATATTCTTCTCTTGGATCTTTGTCTACTGATTCTTAACTGCCTCTTTAGTTCTCGGATGTCTTTTAGTCACACACCTCTCCCCCAATGTTTTTCTGCTTTTCCTTATTGGAAGGTATTTGTATCAATTCCCTATTACTGGAAATTGAAGCACTTTTTTCCTTGCTGTTAAAACTTATCCATTGAGATACTAATACTTCTTTCTGTATTAACATTTTAGATTATCAAAATACTATCTTTGTAATAAGTATATTAAAAGGATAGCCCTGGCCGGTTTGGCTCAGCGGTTAGAGTGTTGGCCTGAGGACCGGAGAGTCCAGGGTTTGATTCTCACTAAGGGCACATACCTCGGTTGCAGTTTGTCCCTAGCCCCGGTTGGGGTCGTGTGGGTGGCAACCACTCGATGTGTCTCTTTCACATCAATGTTTCTCTCTCTCTCCCTCCTGCTCTATCTGAAGGTGGGTGCAGAAATGTCCTTGGGTGAGGATTTAAAAAAAGGACAAAAAAATTTAAAGGAGCAGAAAAATGTTAATGCCAGCAGTGAGAGGCAGGTACTATTACTAGTTCCTTATTGTCAAAGAGCTAATTATGGGTATGGGGGTAGGAAAGAGTTTGGAGATAAGCTTAGTTTGGATAATCTGAGTATGAGGTGCTTAAGATATCTGAGTAGAGTTGTGCTTGAGACATTTAGATATTAAATAGATGGTTTGATATAAGATCAGTGTGGAGATCTGGATTTGGATACTAAAAGCAGAAAGTTGAAGGGCAGTGGTGATTGTAGACTCTTCCACTGTTAAGAGTAACACAGTTTGAGAAGGGACAGGCTAATGATTACCCTTCTTCAGGATAGTGTAAAGAAGACCAACATATACAGCCTCACATTTGTATATATAGGTTATGTATCAATGGGAAAAATAGTTTTATCCCATATTTAATGTCTTTGGTTTATTTGTTTGTTTTTTATTTAGTTATTTATAATCCTGACCTGAGGGTATTTTTTCATTGATCTTCAGATAGATGTGGGGGGGCGGGAGAGAGAAAGAGAGAAACATCAATGGGAGACACATCAATTGGTTGCCTCCTGCATGACCCTGACCAGGGCCAGGGATCAAACTACAACCAAAGTACGTGCCCTTGACCGCAATTGAACCCGAGACTCTGGTCTGAAGGCTGACGCTCTAACTACTGAGCAAAACTGGCCAGGTGGATCTTTTTTTTTTTAAGCCTAAAAATCCTAAAAGCTAAATAGTAGTTATATTAAACAGTATTATAGTATGAAATACTTGTTAGTGTTTTAGATCTAATCACAAAATAGATTAAGCCCTGAATGAAGTTTAGGATTTCAGACTTGCTAATAATTCATATTTAGTATATTTAGTATTGTTAATCTCTTGTTCTCATAAATGTGTATAATAATGAAATCACAATGTTGAAGAGTAATCAAACTATATTAATTAAGTACACTAAATAAGTATTAAAAATAAATGACTTTCATGCTGAATCTGTTTAGAGAGAGAGAGAGAAAATCCAAGCAGCAGCACTCTTGTATTTACTGTTTAAATAACCATTGGTACTACAGATAAAAAGAGGGATGACTTCATTTAAGGTTTTTGGTGATATAAATTATTTTAGTTCCATATCAGACTAGTTCTTTAAGTAGATGTGCACAAAGGGCAGCTAACGATAGACCAGAAATTCATGACTACATACTTAGGTATTTTTAACATATAATTGGAGTTATCTTTTTGTTTCTACAGCTTTAATTGTATTTTGATAACTTTGCTATGTGTTTGGTAATTAAACAAGAGATATTCTAATATGGAAATTTGATTTAACAGAGCTACAATAGAAGAGGCGTACTCCAGGTCAATGACAAAACTAGCAAAATCTGCAAGCAATTATTCACAACTTGGGTGAGTTCATTTCTTTGGAGAACTCTTTTTTTAAAAAAATCCTCACCCGAGGGTATTTTTTTCCATTTATCTTCAGATAGAGTGGGAGGGGGTGAGAGAGAGAGAGAGAGAGAGAGAGAGAGAGAGAGAGAGAGAAACATCAACTTGAGAGAGAGAGACATCAACTGGCTGCCTCCTGCATGACCCTAATCAGAGTCAGGGACCAAACCGCAACTGAGGTATGTGCCCTTGACCAGAATCAAACCTGCAACTTTTAGGTCCGCAGGCTGATGCTCTAACCACTGAGCCAAACCAGCCAGGGCTGGAGAACTCTTTTTTAGTATTGATTTAGGCAAAGTTCTTCAGAATATTAGGTTTCATTGAGGATATAATAGTTCATAAATGTAAAATAGATAATAATGTACTTATTTAAAATGTACCTGTGAATATATTCTTGACTTGATTGAAAATATAATTGAGCCCAGCTGGTGTGGCTCAGTGGTTGAGCACTGACCCATGCACCAAGAAGCCGCCAGTTCGATTCCCGGTCAGGACACAATGCCCAGGTTGTGGGCCAAATCCCCAATGAGGGGCATGCAGGATGCAGCCACTTGATGTTCTCTCTCATCGATGTTTCTCTTTCTCCCTCTCCCTTCTCTCTTTAAAATCAGTGAAGAAAAATTATATTAAAAAATGTATTCTTTGGAAAATGAATGATAATAATAAAAAATATGTTTAAAATAAGATGTGCTGCCCTGGCCGGTTTGGCTCAGCGGTTGGAGCTTCAGCCTACGGTCCAGAGAGACCCAGGTTCGGTTTTTGCTGGGAGGACGTGCCTCCGTTACGGTTTATCCTTGGCCCTGGTTGGGCCTTGTGGGAGGCAGCCACTCGATGTGTCCCTTTCACATCGATGTTTCTCTCTCTCTCTCTCTTGCTCTCTCTCCTTCCCACTCTATCTGAACAAAAAAATGGAAAAATGTCCTCGGGTGAGGATAAAAAAAAAATAAAATAAAATGAGATGTACTTATAGCCATAATAACTCTGGGAAGAATAATTGTACAGTTTGAACCATAACAGCTCTGGAAGGAATACTTAATATGATTTAATTATTTAAAATTTGGAGAGAAATTGTATTTTAGTTCAGATGTGAAAGTTAGTCTAACATTTATAAAGATTTTTATAGTGAATTTAGCAAAAGATTCCTCTGTATATGGATTTCTGATGAATCCGTGAATCTCCTAAAATTTTATGTAAATTTTTGTGTAGGTATTATTGATGAAGAGGATCTATACCAGTTATCAGATTGACATACGGTTTTGTGATTCAAAAAACTGGTTAAGAATGACTATTTTATGAAAGTATTCTGTAGTGTCGTTGAGTTTAAATAAAACTCTTTCTACTTTGTGGCCTGGAAAGAGAAGAGTTGGATTCTCAGTTCATCCACAGAGGAGTGACACTGTCCACTATATAAGTGCTGATAGCCACAGCTCAGAGGACCTTTTGTAGCTATGTACACTGGCTGGAAAGGATGGGTAATTAGCACCTTTTTTACCTAGAGAAGAGTGGGGACTAGTAGTTGTTTACTTTTGTTTTCTGCCTCCTAGTTCTCCTCCAGTTCTTTCCCTTCCACTCCCTGAACATTACTTCATTCATTCATTCTTTTTTCCATCTTTCTCCTTACTTTTCTTGTAGCCTTCTATTTCTAGAGCCTCCATTTATTTATTTAAAATATATGTTTTTATTGATTTTTTTTTTTTTTAGAGAGAGAAGAAGGGAGAGAGAGATAGAAACATCAATGTGAGAAACACTGATCAACTGCCTCCTGCCTGCCCCCTGCTGGGGATCGAGCCCACAACTGGGGCATGTGCCCTGACCTGGAATCGAACCTGGACCTTTCAGTCCATGGGACTATATAGAGCCTCCATTTAAACATGCCTCTTCTAAAACATAATTTCTTCTTTATTCACCACAGTAGAAGGGTCAGAAAGTAACCAGAATAACAAGCTATCTTTAACCAATTGGCCATAGTTTTATTATAAGAAATTCTAACCTATTTTTAGTAATCAAAAGGGAGATAGAAAAAAACCATGGATTGACTTTATCTATGTTTCCTTGATAATAAAGTTACTGACAACATTTCTGTCTTTGGAATGTGTGCTGCTCATAAATAATAGGCAATGTTTATTTTTTGTATTAATGTCATCTCAAGATCATAAAGATTTTAAATATTAATGTTTTTGTTTACTGTTACAGATTTAGGCGAGAAATTGAATTTTACCTTTTTGCAGTTAGTTGCATTTAAACATATTTTGGATTTGTCAGTTTTCTTAGTGCTTATTATACATTTGTATGATATATTAAAAATTATGTATGCCAAACTTTTGTTAAATGGAATGATATTTGAAATTCCTTAAAGAAGCCTATATTTAAAGAAATCTTATGTTGAACTGCTTTTCACTGTAAAGAATCTTTTGGTAAAAGGACACACACTATCTTATCTGCTTTGTGAAGTCTCGACTATCACATATCAGGTTTACCTGAAGTGGTGTACAAGTCTTTTGATGCTGTAGTGAGTGGATACATTTCAGGTGTCTTTTTCTTTCTAAACTTTTTATCTACTTGCCAGATTTAGTGCTGATGAGATCTTACAGTGTGAAGTGAGATCTAATCAGAACAATTCTGAGTATTTTAATAATCCTCTTTGAACATCTTTACTGTTGCTTAAAATGAGCATTGTTAGTTAGCTTTCCCACTGGGTAGGAAATGTAATAATTGGCACAGAGGACATATTAGATAAGTAATTTCTTTCTTTATCCTCTTGACTTAGTGATCATTGCTGCTATTTGCTTTGTTTTCTATTAGAAGTTTTGTCATAAAACAAAGCAAGTCCTGTTGAAAATATCTTAGGAAGTACTGGAGGAAAGCATAGGATAAATAAGATCTTAGATCATTCTCTATTGACCAAATTAGTTTAACTGTTGCCATTCTAAGTACTATCTAAGCTATTATAGTAAGAAATTCTTGGAAGTAGTTGAACCTGCTAAAAATATGAAATTCTCAATATTGAGAAAAGGTGGTAGGAAAGTATGTCATGCATCCTGAACCATGTAATAGAAGGGGGACTCTCTTAATGTTTGTTGAAGTACACAGATAGATAAAATTATAATGGCCCTCAAAAGGTTTCAGGTAATAGTTTTAAAATAATTTTTATATAATAATAATGAAGACACTTAAAAATCATGTGCAAGTTTAAACTTTTTCATGTTTAAATTCAAAGAAACTTGCCCTGGCTGGTTTGGCTCAGCGGTTAGAGGGTCAGCCTGCGGACCAATGAGTTGTGGGTTCGATTTTGGTCAAGGGCACGTGCCTCGGTTTCGATTTGTCCCCGGCCCTGGCCAGGTTGTGCAGGAGGCAACCAGTCAATGTGTCTCTATCACATAGATGTTTCTGTCTGTCTCTCTGTCTCTCCCTCCTTCCCTCCCACTCTAGCTAATGATAAATAGAAAAATATTCTCAGGTGAGGAATAAAAAATAAATAAATAAATTCAAAGGAACTTTTGTTTTTGATAGAGCACTAAATTGTCTAAATTAAAATTTGATAGGTTAATTTTTAACACTAGACAGTGATTAGAACTGCTTCTGCTACAAGTTTAAATAGCTAAGTCAACTCGGAAAGTAATATAATATAATATAATTAAGTGAAGGCCATAGCCAGACATGTGGTAAGTACTTAACCCATTTCTGTGTACCTGAGGTCCAGAAATATTATACTTAATTATTTAATGTATTTAATTATTTATTTCATTAACCAAGGACTTAAAAAGGTCAGTTTGTCAGTCATTTAATTTTTAATTAATTTCATTTAATTTTTTTACCTAATAATGTTATATTCAGCAATTTTAAATCCACTAGTTTTATTTTGGAGCCTTAAACTTTTTTTTCTTTTATTAAATTATTGCCATATTTTCTTTCATTTAGAACATTTGCACCAGTGTGGGATGTGTTCAAAACATCTACAGAGAAATTAGCTAATTGTCACTTGGATCTTGTTAGAAAATTACAAGAATTAATAAAGGAAGTTCAGAAGTATGGAGAAGAACAAGTAAAGTCTCATAAAAAGGTATCAATTTTTCCTTGCTAAAGGATTGATTTGTCAGATAGGGAGTGCTTTACAGTTTGATTATTTTTAATGAAACATTTTATACCAAACAGACTAAAGAAGAAGTTGCAGGAACTCTGGAAGCTGTTCAAACCATTCAGAGCATAACTCAGGCTCTCCAGAAATCCAAGGAAAATTACAATGCCAAGTGTGTAGAACAAGAACGTTTGAAAAAGGAAGGAGCTACACAAAGGGAAATAGAAAAGGTAATTATAATAAAAATAATTTCCTTATGGTTTCAAAGCACTGTCTTATACAAGAGTACATTTAATCTTCAAACATTCAAGAATGATCTCATATTTAAGATGAAGACACTGTGCCTCTGAGTGTTAGTGATAAACCTGAGTGAAACAGAAGTAGGCTTGCAAAATATGTTATGTATGGTAAATAGATCAGCAGATACATAAAAAGGAATGATTTCTTTTTGTCAGTAACACTTTACAGATATATTTCTAATAAGATAATTGATGAGATACTGCTTGGTATAAGGTTTAACAGTGAGGTAAAACTTTTTTTGAAGCAAGACTTTGGTATAGTTAGAAAGGCATAAACACTTGAAGATAAGCCTTAAATATAGGTTGTGGTCAATTTATTGCTGACTTTGAGCACATTTATGTAGTATTGTGGTAAACCACAACCCTTTCCCCACTTGCATTTTAATTAAAAGTAGGTTTTTCCCCCCCTTTCAAAACAGTTTAACCATTCATTTGTTTGATGTGGTGCAGATTCTGTTAGGAATGACATAGGGAGTGATACTTTTGAAAGCTTTGTAAAGTGTTGAAATATCCAGGAAAAAAAGAAAACCAAATTATAACGATATTATAATTATAATAATCATGAAAGTGTGCATACATGGGCAGAAACTAGAAGAGAATATAGAAAAATAAAAACAATTGATAGAATTTGGGGTAATATATTCCCTTTAATATTTGTGAAATAAATATTGGGAGGGGCAGAAAGATGAGGCTTAGGTAGTTCACAGTTTTAAAGCACCCTCCATTCCAGACACAGCAATTATGAATAAAATGTCAAAAGGGAAAACAAAACAAATAACAGGGTCCAAAAGAGTACTACCTTGGTGAATCAGAAATGGTACAGAAACCTGAAATGGCATGTAGAAACTGATTATGCAGGCTTGTTAGACTCACAGTCCTAAGTTAGGCCGTGGATGTTGTCTTTTGTATGGTAAAGGGGAACTAAATGTTTCACATTTAAGATAATTGCAAGGACCAGCAATTACTTGGAAGATCTCAGGAAACAGGCTCAACAGTTGGAAAATGAACCTGAAACTAGTTTTCCTCAGTAAACTACGTACAAGTTACAGTCACGTGGCAGAGATGGAAGACATGGCAGGCATAGCTCTGACCTAACACCCCTTTTAAATGGATCAAGCCAAGATAGAATGTTCGAAACAATGGCAGTTGAGATTGAACAGCTTTTGGCAAGGCTTACAGGAGTAAATGATAAAATGGCAGAATATACTATCAGTGTGGGTATCCCCTCTGTGAATGTGACCCTGATATACATTACAGTGACATAGATATTGCAAGATTATACACATGAATTCCATATAACCAAAGCAAACTTTATGGCAATATGGGAAAGGGAGAATCTCATGGGATTAATACAAAATGATATTGAGTCATATAAAAGTGGGTCTGGAGTAAACAGAAGAACTGAACTATTTTTTTTTGTTTTGTTTTGTTAATCTTCACCTAAGGATATTTTTTTCATTGAATTTTTTAGAGAAAGTGGGAGGTGGGGCAGGGTGGGGGCGGGACATTGATATGAGAGCGCTACATCAATTGATTGCCTCCTGCCCACACCCCGATCAGGGCCTGAGTGTCGAACTTGCAACCCAGGTGCGCGCCCTTGATGGAGAATTGAACCTGCTACCCTCTGGTCCTTGGGCTGACACTCTAACCACTCACTGAGTGCACCAGCCAGGTCTAAACTACTTTTAAAATTTTTTAGTTTTTATTTATTTGTTTTCTTTTTATTGAATTTATTGGGGTGACACTAGTTAACAAAATTAATAGATTTCAGGTGCACAATTCCACATCATACCATCTGTACACTGTATAGAGTGTTTACCACCCCAAGTCAAGTCTCTTTATCATCATTTATCTCCTCCGTACACTCCTCCACCTCTCCTCCTCCTGCAGGCAATCACCACACTGTTGTCCATTTTCATGAGTTTTTTTCCTCTCTTTTTTTCCTTTTTTGCTCAGTCCCTCCACCTCCTGCCACCAAGTCCCTGAACCATCTGCGCCCCCCCAATAGCTGTCACTCTGTTATTGATCTATGAGTCTTATCTTTCTTTTTCTTATTAGTTCATTTTGCTCATTAGATTCCATATATGAGTGAAGTGATAACTCATTGTGGTGTTAATTTGCATGTATCTGATGATCAGTGAGGTTGAATATCTTTTCATATGTCTTTTGGTCATCTGTATGTCCTCTTTGGAGAAGTGTCTATTCAGGTTCTTTGCCAATTATTTAATGGGATTGATTTTGTTTTGGTTTTGGTGTTGAGTTTTGTAAGTTAGTGATAAATTTTGGATATTGTGCCCTTATGAGATGTATCATTGGTGAATCTGTTCTCCCATTCAGTGGGTTGTCTTTTCATTTGGTTGATGATTTCCTTTGCCAAAAGCTTTTTAGTTTGATGTAGTTCCATTTGTTTATTTTTTTCCCTTTGTTTCACTTGTCTGAGAAGATACATCAGAAAAAATATTGTTACGAGAAATATCTGAGATTTTACTACTTATGTTTCTTTTAGGATTTTCATGTTTTTTTTTAAATTATTTTTTATTTTATTTTTTTTAATCCTCACCTGAGGACATTTTTTGATAGTTCAGATAGAGTTGGAGGGAGGGAGAGAGAGAGAGAGAAACATTGACGTGAAAGGGACACATTGAGTGGTTGCCATCCGCATGACCCAATCAAACCCAGGGACAAACTGCAACCGAGGTACGTGCCCTTAGCGGAAACCAAACCCAGGTCTCTCTGGACCTCAGGCTGACGCTCTAACCGCTGAGCCAAACCGGCTAGGGCGGATTTTTATGGTTTTGAGTCTAACATTTAAGTCTTCATTTTGAGTGTATTCTTGTATATGGTGTAAGAGGTTGCTCTAGTTTTCTTTTTTTTTTTTTTTTTTTTTGCATGTATCTGTCCAATTTCCCCAACACCATTTATTGAATATACTGTCTTTACCCAATTGTATGTTTTTGCCTGCTTTGTCAAATATTAATTGACTATAAAGGCATAGGTTTATTTCTGGGCTTCTATTCTCTTCTATTGATCTATATGTTTGCTTTTATGCCATTAGCACGCTGTTTTGATTACTATGGCCTTTTAGTATAGTTTGATATCAGGTAGCATGATTTCTTCAGCTTTGTTCTTCTTTCTAAAGATTGCTGTGGCTATTGGGGTCCTTTGTGCTCTATATCAATATTTGGAATACTCTAATTCTGTGAAATATAAACTGAACTATTTTTGAAAGAACATGAGCACCTTAAAAAATCAGATCATCTGATAGAAGAGATAATAATAAGCATTGCTGTAGCAACAAAAGAAAATTTGACTTTTCAGAGTGGAATGTTGTAGTCAATTCAGAGCAAAATGAACACTTCAGTCATTTTCCTGTTGTGAACAGCCTGATCCAACAAATCAACCTTTAAAAAATTTTTTTAAATACTTTTTTTTTAAAATTGATTTTTCAGAAAGAGAGGAAGGAAGAAAGAGAGAGAGAAATATGGATTGGATGCCTCCTGCATGCCCCCCACTGGGGACTGAGCCTGCAACTCGAGCATGTGCCCTGACTGGGAATCGAACTGGACCTCTCGGTCCATGGGACAGAGCCCAGTTCACTGAGACTCACTTATCCTGGGTGGTGTTATTAGTGTCTGTATCATCCTATTACTTGCTATGTATGCTTTCTATTGATGGGACATCTCCAGGGACTTTTGATAACTATTACTTTCAGGCCCTGATCTGGAATAAGGAAAAGTAGGAAGGAGAAATTGACTGTCCTGATAATTAGCCTGACCATCAGGATTAATTCAAGACTGATAGTGATGGACTATGTGATATGCTCAGGTTGAGCTGAAACTACCATTTTTTGTGCTGATTTTTCTAACACGTACTTCCTTTTGTTTTTAGTTTTAATAATAATAATAATAATAATAAAGATAATCACAAGGAGCCCCTCTCACGGTATAAAGCTATATAGGTAGGGAAGAAAAAAGGTTCTTGGACTGCTGTCTAGGGCTAAAGCTTTATTGGAAGTTGGGGTTTTTAGCATACTATTCTGACTGTGAATCAGTAAAGCCAAGGAACCAACTCATGACTATTTTGGCTATATCTGCTATATTCTTCCGGGGATGTAATTAAAAACTACTTTTATAGGACTGATAGTAAACTGGGGCTTTGGAGGGCTGGCAGGAGATAACCTGAAAACTAAATGGGAATGGGTGAGCATAAAGGATAGAGCATAAGAAAATTCTAGGAGATACCATTTGCATTGTATTCTATGGAATTGTCCAGCAGTACTGATTGAGAGAGAAGAATGGGGAAAAACCTCCCATTTAAAATAAGTAAACAACCAAAATTCTAGAGCACGTCTAAGAAATCTAATACTAAAACAGACACCAATAAATTTAACAATTGGAATAAGAATTTACTCCAGATGAAATTTAAATTTATAAAATATATGAATAAAAATGTGTGTATCAAGGTTCAAAGATGAATCAATATAAACACATTAAAGAAGATTAAGAAACCAAAAGAGACATAATGAAATAAGATCTACTAGAGAGGAAAACAGCTAATTAGAAAACGTGGAACTGAAAAATATGATTATTGAAATTAGGGGGGGAAAAAAGGAATAGAGAAGACAAACATTGGACTAGATATAGTCAAAGAGAGAATTTGGACAATAGTACTGAAGAAACCCACCCAGAACGTAATATAGAGAAATAAAGGTTACTAACATTCATCTAATAACGAATTTCAGAAGGAAAAGGGGGAGCAAATGGTGGGCAAGTAGTACTTGAATTTAACAGCTGAGAATTTTTCAGAATTGAAATTCAAGAGTCCTCAGATTTACAGTACATTCTTTGTTTTAAGCATGTTAAATAAAGATAAATTTAGACCAAGACACCAGAGAAAAAGAGATTATTAAAAGCTACCAGATATTTCATTTT